GAACATTGTGAAGTACAAAGGCATCTGTACAGAAGACGGTATGTTGGGCACGGTGGGGTTGGTTTGAAAACGAAGGGACTGTCTGGGGTTAAAAGGCCCGTGTGAGCAGGCAGTGCCCTCGGCTGTATCTGGGCCACCTGGACATGCTCGCTGGTGGTTCCCGGGAGCTCTGCAGCTTCACCATCATACGCACAGTCACGTCCCTCAGCGCAGAGCTGCCAGGAAAGCCACCCAGCTTCCCCTGCCGCCAGGGATGATCCCAGCGTTCTCTCTCCAGTACTGGAGACTGGGCTTCACTCATCCGATATTCACACTTAGGCCCTATGAAACTGACACCCATTGTCTGCTTTTCCTATTCTGATCCAGCCCTAGCCAGGATCTTTCATTTTCTAGTTGTCTATATCAAGGTGGCAAGCAGTATTTACTACTAAGTGTATCTTTTTTTACAAGCCAATACAATACATAACTGTATTCCAAAATTGGTAATGAAATGATGTGGCTCGTAATTTTTGAAAACCAGTCATCCACAGTGGTTTGCAGAGCACTGTTAGCTCAGTGGGTGCTGATGACTGGGCTTTGTTATGTACATGAGTGTAACTATCTCCGTTCTTTGAGGATCCCGAGGTTCTGGAGCTTAAGAGGTTCAGTAGTGATTCAGGGGTGACACTGAAATCAGCTCAGGGCCTGCATCTCCAGATCCTGCACCCTTTACTCTCCCACAGTTCCTTCATCTGGCGACCTTGTCCTGATGGGTGTTTTTTTCCAAACAGGAGGAAATGGTATTAAGCTCATCATGGAATTTCTGCCTTCAGGAAGCCTTAAGGAATATCTTCCAAAGAATAAGAACAAAATTAACCTCAAACAGCAATTAAAATACGCCGTTCAGATTTGTAAGGTAAAAGAAAAAAAACCACGTCAAAGATCAAAAAATCAGGCACGCTGTCCTGGGTAATTGGGTTGTAATTAGACTGCAACTGGGAAGCTTTCCAGTAATTGTACCTGTACCATTTTGCTCTGCATGATTTGGATGAAAATTAGCCAGTACTAAGAAAACTGATTTGTTAATATGGCTGACTTAATGTGTATTTCTTTGAATTGGGTTAGTCTAAACTATTCTTGCATTAAAAACAAACCAAAAAAACGAGTGATAGGTAAATGAAATGACATTGGTGCTTTTTCATGAAGCAGTGATGGATACAAAACAGAACCTGAACTAACCTTTAGCAAATGCACTCTCCCTTCACCTCTCTCCCTCAGGGGATGGACTATTTGGGTTCTCGGCAGTACGTTCACCGGGACTTGGCAGCAAGAAATGTCCTCGTTGAGAGTGAGCACCAAGTGAAAATTGGAGACTTTGGTTTGACCAAAGCAATTGAAACTGACAAGGAGTACTACACAGTCAAGGATGATCGGGACAGCCCTGTGTTTTGGTAACTGAATCTAATGTTATGTTAATGTCTTTTATTCTTCCTGCCCAAGTCAAGGCTGGAAAGAACTTAGCGCATTTGGAATTGATTAATTTCTGCCCTCAAGAAACACCTTTTAGGCTGTGTCACTAGAAAGCAGCCCACATAGAAATGCCTAAGGTTCATACGACACCATCTTCCAAGGAGTGGAGGACGCTAACCACCCGGTGGCTGACATGTCCAGCTTCCCAGGAGAGGGCATTCATCTGACACAGTCCTTAAAACTGTTAGTAGTGGTAGGGGTCACATGCATGCACAGGAGGCCTAGAGGGCAGGTAGGAAGAAGGGGTGGGAACGAGGTGAGGAAGTAGGCACTGACAGATTCAGGGAGATCCCAGACAGAGCAGAACGGAGCACAGTCCACAGGGAACTTGGCCATCTGCTCATGGATCACCGCAGTGTCTTGGTCAGATGGCTGCACCCTGACTGTGACCCCTTGCAGCCTGGAACACCATCCAAGGGAGAAGCTGTTTAAGCCTCTACTCTACTGCTCCTGTAGAACAAATCAATACCTCTGAGGTGCGTCCCGCATAGACACAAACCTAGATCTCTCCCACTCATGGAGCCTAAGGCTTCATTCAGTCATTAATATATGTATCAGGGCCCTACTTTGTGCTGGGTACTAGTACTAGAGATCCGTGGTGAACAAGCAGACTGAGTATAGAATTTAATGGATTGGGCAGCCAATTTCATGGTGGTATAAGCATGGAAAGGTTTAGGTTTGGTTTTCTGGAAGTCCTATTAAGACTTTAAAAGATCCATGGGGTTTGTAAGGATGGTAGAAGAAGGCATGTGTGACTAGCAAGAATGAGATGAGAGCAGTGAATATCCTAGGACCTGAATCTGAATCAGCTCGGTGTGGGACTGGATCACGACAAAGTGGGAGGTCTCAAGGACTTGCTAAGGCGGAGCACCGGAGGCCGAGTCACAGAGCTGGCACTCTGCCTTCGAGCTTTGGGACATACCACTGGAGGGTTTAAGAATGGTGGCTTTTGCTTTAAAAAGATCACTGTGGATGGGAGGGGAGCAAGATTGGAGCTAAGGGAGTGTGATTCAACCAGAGCCAGTGAGGGTGTGAACTAGGACAGTGGTTAGGACAGTGACGGTGGGCCTTAAGAGAAGTGAGTAGGTTTGAGAAGTATAGGAACCTGGATATAGGGGTGACTCCGTTTCTGGCTTGGGGAGTTGGGTGTCATCCAACAAAACAGTTGACCTTGGAAGAAGGCTGCATAGTGAGGTCACTGCTGACTAATTTTGAACTTGCAAAGAACACTTGGGATGTGTCATCTTATGCCGCCTCCACATGGACAGCCCGTGGAATGAAGAGCACAAACTAATACTTTAAAGCAAATACATGCTACGGAGAGCCTGTGACGGTATTGTTCATGTCAGATATGTGCATCAGCAGACGTGTGATTAATACATCAAACACTGAGAAAAGCCGAAGAAGTGATTTTTTTGGAGATACTCTGTAATGTGTTGGAATATCCTTCCCAGGAAATGAAGTTTTCATGGTCTGCTTTCTTTCAGGTATGCTCCTGAATGTTTAATTCAGTGTAAATTTTATATCGCCTCTGACGTCTGGTCGTTTGGAGTGACTCTGCATGAGCTGCTTACTTACTGTGACTCAGATTACAGCCCCATGGCGGTAAGTCTTCCTTGTATCTTCATCCAAATCCAGCACCCATTGAAAATGTGTAAATTTTGTTCTTAAAGGGAATCCAGTTAGTGTGTTACAGTGGGAAGCGTCACTTTTCCATTTAACATGGTATGTCACTTGACACTTATTTGTGGCTCTCTCAAGTCCTCATTTCACAAGGAGCCCAAGTTCTAGAAAATGATGCTGACTTTCAAGGATCTTACCTGTGTGAGGATTCCAGGGGCAGTTTCCTGGGAGAATGAGGGAGCAGTGGGGAGGGCCTTGTTTGAGCTTCAGGAATTCATAAATGATTTAAGATCATTTTCACTGAGACAGTGTCTTCAGCCAGGGGAAGGGATGGTTGGTAAAGTCTGAGAGAGTGTAATCACAGACTAATCATTGAGAGCTAATCAAGATTTTGGGCTTTCATTTAAAATTACTAAGGAGAGGGGCACCTGGGTGGCTTAGTCGGTTAAGTATCTGCCTTTGGCTCAGGTCATGATCCCAGGGTCCTGGGATCCAGCTCCACATTGGGCTCCCTGCTCAATGGGGAGTCTGCTTCTCCCTCTCCTGCTCCCCCCTCTCTCTGTCAAATAAGTAAAATCTTTAAGAAAAATAAAGTTACTAAGGAAAAAAGCCTTTTTATTATCTTAATTTACAGTTAAACCTAGAAATTTTACCTTAATCTACTGTTGATATAAATATATGCTAAAATACTTGATTTGGTTTGATTTTACATAGTTGTTCCTGAAAATGATAGGCCCAACTCATGGCCAGATGACAGTCACAAGACTTGTGAATACATTAAAAGAAGGAAAACGTTTGCCTTGTCCACGTCACTGTCCAGATGAGGTATTTGTGGGCTATTTTACAGTAATAAACTCAGTTTATGTTATGTTTTCAGGGCTTGAGTTACTTGGCAAGGGTTTGGGTGGGAAGAAGTAGAAAAGTCATTTTTAAAATAATTTCCTGAAGCTGAATTTCAGATCAGACATCTGTAAAACCTTCTTTGGGGCAGATGACAGCCACAAGTTAGGTTTAAAGTAAGGATTCCCTCCAAAAGTAGGCTCACCTCAGTGAGCACCCTAAAGCAACACACTCTAGTGTAGCCTGATTGTGACAAGTACATATAGAGTTGACCCTTGACACGGGATTAGGGGTGCTGACCTTCTACACAGTTGAAAATCTGAATGTGGCTTTTGATTACCTAAAACAAGTCTCCTGTTGACCAGGAGCCTTACTGATAATAATTACAAGAGAAAAAAATGGTAAGAGAAAATACATTTATAGCACTAGATCATATTTAATGAAAAAACTGTGTATATAACTGGACCTGCACAGTTCAAATCTGTGTTGTTTGCCGCTCAGCTGTAATTGTATGTTAGTAGCATTTATGACATTTTTTCAGTTTTCTGTATTCTAAGGTGATTTGAGCCTTTAAGGCCAACTCTAAAGACTATTTGAGATGTACTGAAGAGTTTGTATGAATCAAAGAACCACCAGTGAGGGAATTTAGAGTCAAGTCTGCACTGAGATGTAATGACCTGGATGTTCTGGAAGGTCGATTCATGAGCTTCTCAAGATAGATTGTTCGTCAGTAATACTTTGAGTAATAAGTCCATTTATAAGTAGTGGTAAGTCCATTTCCAAGAATTTTTTTAACTCGATTCCCCCGCCCTTCTTACAGGTTTATCAACTTATGAGAAAATGCTGGGAATTCCAACCATCCAATCGGACAACTTTTCAGAACCTTATTGAAGGATTTGAAGCACTTTTAAAATAAGAAGCATGGATAACATTTAAACTCCTGTGTATCAGGTCCTCCTCCCCCAACCAATACCCAAGCCATTTAAAATTTTTAATGGAAAAATTTGTATTTGGGTATGTAAGGCACACTGTGGTGCTTGTTATGTGTACGTACTGCCCTCTTGAAATTTGGCACCTGTAACAGATAACGACCACCGAAACAATAGAAAGCACTTAAGCACTCCTCCTTTTGAAAAGAATGGAAAGCACCGTTCTGTTTGGCTAGCGTACTGTCCCAGTTGCATACCAGAAAGGGAGAGGAGCCGACAGAAGCCCTTGTTCCCAGCCGCCCGTTGATCTGAAATGCTTTCCCGGCAGATAGAGATTGATGGACTTAGGCACTACTCTAACATGCCCTCAGATTTCAGTATCTCTACAGTGATAGACCAAGCATTCTTGAAATATTAGATACCCATTAGTAGACTATTGTTTCTATACCAAGATGAGTGTATTCCTGTCACCAGTAGGACTTAAACTTTGAGTTGTCTCTTCAGTGGCTTTGCTCCTGTCCCCGTGGGTGACCAGCAATCTGGTCAGAGCCAGGGGGACAGCTGTGGAATAGATACTCTGTTGCCTGTTAATTCTTGAGAACCAAGCCTGTGCTTTCCTGAAAAGTATACCTTTAATCAGAACGGACTCCAAGACCCTGGGTACTATCATACCTGCTTTTCAGAAATGTTAATGTTTATCCTTTTCTAACTAACTCTACCACTTTGGGGCAAGCTGTTGCAGCATTGGTTTTGGATGCTGTGTGCAACCAATCAGTGTTTTTGTACTTAACCATCCATATTACAAGAGTTCAGGAGCTACTAGACAGTTTGCTTGGAGGTAGCTGGGTAATCAAAAATGTCTAATCTCTGATTCAATGTGAACCGTAAGAACTTGATGACCAAGAGTCTGAAAAACTTTTTGTTAATGCTGTCTAGCATTTGTTTGATATCCTTACTTTTCACCTTTTGAGCCTAAAGAGTTCTGGATTGATTCAATGGCAACAATAAACTTGCCATTTAAATTTATTCAATAACCCTACATCACCAAGGTCTCTGTCTGTGTCAAACCTGTGGCCACTCTATATGCACTTTGTTTACTCTTTATACAAATAAATATACTAGAGACTTCACATGCAAATGCCTTTTAATATTAAGATTTCAAAGCATTCAAACAATTTGTTTACATAGAAAAATAACAGTATAATAACAGTATAGACTTTGTGTGGGGGGGCGGAGTTTGGTAATGGTCCTTATTACAAACACCACTTGATTGGTACTTATCTGTTCTATCCAATGATACACAGAGGGCAGATCCATACAACCTCTCCCTGCTTTCATTTTGCAGCTCTGACTTAAAATTCACCATCTTCTGTTTATATTATCAGAGAGGTGTGACTAAGCATTGAAGATGCTTAATGCAATAGGAAATGGGAAGGAGAAGCGCAGAACATGGAGAAACCATTATTCATCTGCTGAGTCATAACTGATGCCAGTCCTTAACTTTCTAGCTGTCATTTTCTAATAGAAGTTAATAGGAAATAAGACCAATTTCTTTACAAATCGTATGTACCACTTTTAAACTTGATGATTAGAATAGGGTACCTTATTACAAGACATTTAATGATCTGATTTCAAAAAGACTAGGCTCATTGAGACTCATAACAAGGAACAAACTTGGAAATTTCTAGATGGCAAAGGTCTTCAGGAAATGATGTCAAAAGTTATATGCAATAATCACAATTCTTGCTGAAGTAAATTGAGTTAAATAGCTGATAATTTTTCAGCCTAACACTACAAAAGAATAAGAGACAAAGCAGAAAGTGAGGTATAACTTACTAGCTCAAAATTGTTACACTGTTACTCCACAGTGCTCCTTCAGTATTGACGGTTGAACTATACTGTGGAAATAGGGCATTTGAGGATCCAAACAGGCCTTGTTCTAGCAATTGTTTATGCCATGAAATCAGACACAGAAACCTACATCGCTTGCCACTTAGATTAGGGAATTAGTGCCATTAGGCCAGGAGTCAGCACACTTTCCCCCATAAAGGCCCCGACTAAGTATTTCAGGCTTTGCAGACCCTATGGGTCTCTGTCACAGCCACTAGAACACACAAGTAGCCCTAGACAGTATGTAAATGAATGAGCGTGTTTGTGTTCCAATATTAAATCTCTTCTACTTCATTTAAAAATGTAAACCTCATTCTTAGCTTGCAGACAGTGTAAAAACAAGTGGAGGACTAAACTTGACCCCAGGGTATAGGCTGCCAACCCCTGAAATTATTTCACCAAAGCTACTTTTTTTTTTTTTTTTTCAAAAATAGCTTGTTTTTCACAAAAGGTATAAATGGTAAATAACATTAAAAGTTAAGCATCTATAGTTGTGTAGAACTTGGACCTTACTATCACTCTCGGATTTATGTTGTGGGGCTGATGTGGGGGTAATTATTTAGTTTGCATGTAGAGCATCTTTATAACATTACCACCACTGCATTTTGTAGTTGCACTCTTGTAGTTCTAGGAAAAGTTTTAAAAATCTATAAATGAGATTACTTCTAGGGAAAGTAGATTGAAATGCACAGTGGCATATAAGAAACTCATTCTTCTAAGGCTCAGGAAACAAGACCGTTTCCCATTTATTGCTTCATACTTTTATATATGGTGTCAAAATTATTCCCAGTCCTAAACAAGGAATATTGGAACATTGTTAATTTCTCCAATGGACTATAAGTTAATACCAATTAAGATGCATCTACTTGTAATGGAAAATGTCCTGTATTATTTTATTGCTACTTATTTTTTATTTGGCAATTCTGCTTGCTGCACAATACAGTTCCTTCTGGGAAATTAGAAACCCGTATTTAAAGGATATGGCTAGTCTGAATGTAGTTAAGGCAGCAATGAACAGCAGAGATACTGCAAAAAACCTTATGAGGTTATAAGGAGAGAACTTAACTCAATATACGCGCTTCTTTTTAAAGTAGGTTTCCATGTAATAAGCTCCTGTGCCCTGAGAATGCTGGTCAACAAATTCCACAGAACCACCTTCTGGGGCAGAGATGAGATATGATGAGCCTCGCTTTTCATTTCTTAAAGAGGATACCTATGGGAAAAAGCACAATGCTAATATCTAAATTAAAAATTGGTTTTTCATTAAAGATATTTATAAGAAAAGCAATTCTGATTTGGTCTAAAAACAAAATAGGATAAATAGCAAATCTATCAAATTAAAACATTAAGATTTCTATATCAAAATCACTTGTGGAACTTTTAAAAAATACAAACCAGCCTCTGAGTGCCCTCTCCCCTCCACCCCCAATATTTGGGGGAAAGAAAAAAAAAAAGCAATTGCATTGCTTCTGCTGTCCCCACCTAGTTAAACCCCACTGCGTCAGAATACCTATACGAGATGTCCGTATTCCTCTGACAAAGGTGAGTGGCTAAGAAGTTGAACTGCATATCAAATTAGATGGTGGGTCTGTCTAGTAACAAAAGAAGCGGCAACGTACTAGTAGGTGTAAAAACACAAGTGGTTCCAGACCCAAGTGGAACACAGGTGTGCATGGGGAATTCAAGACTGTTTCCAGAGCTCAGAGGAAGATGGCAGAATAGGAAGATCCTGAGCTTACCTCATCCCATAGGGGCAACGACATCTATGCAACTAATTCTGAAGATGACCTGAAGACTCACAGATCTTCCACAGCCAATAGAAGGCTACACGGAAAAGGGTAGGAGGAGCAGAAATGCAATATGGAACCAAACCCCAGCACAACTACCCACAAACAGGAGGGACATCATAAGCACAGAGGAGCAAGGGGATCAGAGCCCACACCGAACAGCCTGCACTGGGAAGCTGATTATCCATACCTCTGGCTTTCAAAATCAGCAAGGCTTACCTCCAGGAGAGCTGGAGGGCTGTAAGAAACTGAGTCTCCACCCTTAAAGAGCCAACAAGCCAAATAACAGCCCAAGACACAGCACGAAAGAGTTTGAAAAGTACCTGGGCTATACATGGAGATTTATTGACTAATTTTAGGACATGTACCAGTGGGGCAGGCATCTGCAGGAGTTTTCTCTGGAAATAAAAGTGCTGGCAGGTGCCATTTTTCTTGCCTTTCCCCAGCCTAGATAGCCAGAGGCTTCCAGGAGTCAGTTCTAGCACTCTTCATCTGCCTTGCTAGCACTACATGCCCCATCATGTCATTCCTTCGTGGACCTGCCCGGGGCAGGGGAGGGATGCAAACCCTCTCCACCAGCACACACGCAGCAGTCAAAGTGGCTCATTACTATACAGATAGCTGGGCTGAGTGCCAACCCTGCCCACCAGTGAGCCTACGGTGGCTGCAGTCAGGCTTCTAAGCCAGCAGCACAGAAAGCAAACCCTACCCACCAGTGCACCCACAGTAGCTGCAACCAGGCCTCACAGGGAGCAAGCCCTGCATGCCTGGCCACTTGCAGTAGTCATAGCTCAGCCACAACAGTAGGGCACATGTAGCCCACACAGGGAACACCCTTGGAGTACTTGGTTCTAGTGACTAGCAACAGTTTACAACAGGGCCCCTTCTACACAAAGCCACTACTTTCAAGATCAGGAGAAAGAGCTGACCTGCTTAATATGTAGACAAACAAGGAGTTAGACAAAATGACACAAAGGAATATGTCCCAAATGAAAGATGACAAAAATCACAGAAAAAGAACTAAATAAAACAGAGATAAGCAATATGCTTGATAAAAAGTTCAAAGTCATGGTCATAAAGATACTCACCAGACGAGAGAAGAGTGGATGAACTCAGAACTTCAACAGAGAGATAGAAAATATAAAAACCAATCAGAGATGAAGAATATGATAGCTGATACGAGCAATACACTAGTGGGAATCAACAGATTAGAGGATGCCGAAGAATGGATCAGGGATCTGGAAGACAGGGTAATGGGAAGCAACCAGGCTGAACAGCAAAAAGAATAAATAATGACAGGTTAAGAGACCTCTGCAACATCATCAGAATAATAACATTCACATTATAGGAACCCAGAAGGAGAAGAGAGAGAGAAGGCAACAGAACTTACTTGAAGAAATAACATCTGAAAACTTTCCTAATCAGGGGAAAACAGACATTCAGGTCCAGGAAACAGAGAGCCCCAAACAAGATGAGCCCAAGGATGTCCACACCAAGAGTCATAATAATTAAAACGGCAAAAATTAAAGATGAAGAGGGAATCTTACAAATAAGAGATAAGTAAACAGTTACATACAAGGGAAACCCCATAAGGGTATCATCTGATTTTTCAGCAGAAACTTTACAGTCCAGAGGAGTGGCATGCTATATGCAAGGTGCTGAAAGGATAAAACTGACAACCAAGAACACTATATTCAGCCTTACAAGAAATGTTAAAGAGAGTTCTTTAAGTGGAAAAAAGGCCATAACTAGAAGAAAATTATGAAAGGAAGAACTTTTGCTGGTAAAAGTAAACATAGTAAAGGTAGTAGGTCAATCATAAAGCTAGTAAGGAGATTAAAACACAAAAGTAGTAAAATTAATTATATATTCAAAAATTAGTCAAGGGGTACACAAGATACAGAATAAGACATACATAAAATGTGGAAGGAGTAAAAATTTCATGCTTTTAAAAGGTGTTTGAGCTTAAGTGACCATCAAACTCAATGTAGACTGCTGTATACACATAGGATGTTATATATGAACCCAGTGGTAACCAAAACCCTCTAATAGGTAAAGAGAAAGGAATCCAAGCATAAAACACTCAAGAAAGCCATCAAACCACAAGGGAGGAGAGCAAAAGAAGAAAGGAACAAAACAAAAAAGTTAACAAAATGACAACACATCAATACTTACTTTAAATGTAAATGGACTGAATGGTCCAATCAAAAGACACAGAGTTGATAAAAAGAGTAAGACCCAAAGACCCATCTATATGCTACCTACAAAAGACTCACTTTAGACCTAAAGACATATACAGACTAAAATGAAGATATAGAAAAAAGTTATTCCATGTATATGGAAGCCAAAAAAACCCCAAAATCAAAAAACAAACCCCACACCTGGGGTACCAATACTCAGATAAAATAGACTTTAAAACAAAGACTGTCACAAAAGAAAAAAAGGTCATTACATATTGATAAAGGGATCAATCCAAGAAGATATAACAATTGTAAATATTTGTGCACCCAATTTAGGAACACCTAACTATATAAAAAAAAAATATTAACAGACATAAGGGAGAAACTGGCAGTAATACAATAAAAGTAGGGGATGTTAACACACTACTTACATCAATGTATAGGTCATCCAGACAGAAAAATGAATACGGAAACAATGGCTTTGAATAAATCTTTAGACCAGAGGGACCTAACAATATATACAGAACATTCCACTCCAAAAGGACAGAATACATATTCAAGGGCATGTGGGACATTCTCTAGGATAGATAGGCCATAAAACAAATCTCAATATGTTTAAGAAAACATATCAAGTATCTTTTCTGATCAGAGCAGTTAGAAATCAATTAGAAGGAAAAAAACTGGAAGAAACACAAACACATGTAGGCTAAATAACATGTTACTAAACAACCAATAAGTCAATGAAGAAATCAAAGAGCATATCAGAAAAATATCTGGACATAAATGAAAATGGAGATGCTACAGTTCAAAATCTTTAGGATGCAGCTAAAGCAGTTCCAAGAGGGAAGTTCACAGCAATACATGCCTACCTCAAGAAACAAAAACTTCAACAATCTAACCTTATGCTTAAAGGAACTAGAATAAGAACAAAAGCCAAAGTTAGCAGAAAGAAGGAAATACTAAAGATCAGACTGGAAATAAATGAAATAAATCCTTAAAAAACAACAGGAATGATCAATGAGACTAAGAACTTGTTCTATGAAAATTGATACACCATTAGCCAACTAATCAATAAAAAAAAAAGAAAACCCAAAATTGGAAATGAAAGTTACAATGGATACCTCAGAAATACAAAAAATATATAATTACTACAGAAAATTATATGCCAACAAATTGGACAAACTAGAAGAAATAAATTCCTAGAAACATACAATCTTCCAAGACTGAATCAGAAAGAAACAGAAAACCTGAATAGGACCAATTACTATTGAGAAAATTGAATCAGTAAGCAAAAAAATTCCCAATAAGCCTAAGACCAGATGGCTTTACAGGTGAATTTTACCAAATATTTAAAGAAGTGTTAACTCCTATTCTCAAACTATTCAAAAAAATAGAAGAGGAATTCATTCCAAATTCATTCTATATGGCCAGCATTACCCTGATACCAAAACCAAAGATACAACCAAAAAAAATTACAAGCCAATATCCTTCATGAACATAGTTGCAAAAATCTTCAAAAAATATTAGCAAACTAAATTCAAAAATACTTAAAAAGACCATACACCACCGTCAAGTGGGATTTATTACAGGGATGCAAGGATGGCACAATATACACCAATCAATGTGATACACCACATTTACAAAGGGAAGGATCAAAGTCATATGATCACCTCAATAGATGCAGAAAAAGCATTTGACAAAATTCAACATGAATTCATGATAAAAACTCAACAGAGTGGGTAAGGAGGGATCATAACATAATAAAGGCCATCTATGACAACCCATTGCTAACATACTCGATGAAAAATAGAGCTTTTCCTCTAAGATCAGGAACAAGACAAGGATGTCCACTCTTGCCACTTTTATTCAATGTACTATTGGAAGTCCTAGCAATTGCAATCAGACAAGAAGAAAAGGCATCCAAATTGATAATAAGTTAAACTGTCAATATTTGCAGAGAACAGGATACTATATGTAGAGAACCCTAAAGACTCCACTAAAACCTGTTAGAATTTATAAATGAATTCATGGGTACCTGGGTGGTTCAGTTAAGCATCTGACTCTTGATTTTGGCTCAGATCATGATCTCAGGGTCATGAGATCGAGCCCCACATGAGGCCTGCGATGGGTGTGAAGACTACTTAAGATTCTCTCTTGCCCTCTCCTTCTGCCCTTCCCCTCTGCACACTCTCTCTCTAAAATAAAGAAATCTTTAAAAAAAAAAAAATGAATTCAGGAAAGTTGTG